GCAAACACTTTAGTAAATGGTAACTGCACTCCATTAGTAATGCAAGATAAACACAATTCAAGCAACATAGATCAGTATAAAAATATAATATGCTGTTTTAAAAAATCAGAGTATCATATTGATCTAAGGTGGCAACCATGGAACTACATGGAATCTCCACTTACAGAAGAGAAAACAGAATCTAACCAGAAAGTTGCTACCCCAGAACATTCTGTAAACACCCTTTACAGAATAGCTGAAAACTATGTTTTTTTTAAAAATTATTAAAACAGAACTTGTCCGAAGTGACATCTGCACTTGTGTGTTCACTGCAGCACTCTTTACAATACCCAGAATCTGGAAAAAAACCTGAGTGCCCGAGAACAGATCACTGGTTAAAGAAACTTTGGTACAGCTACACAATGGAGTACTATGTAGCTGTTAGAAAAGATGAAGCCATGAAATTTACATACAAGTGGTACTACATGGGAAGTATCATGTTAAGCGAAATGAGTCAGAAAGAGCAGGATAGACACAGAAAGATTGCATTCATCTGGGGAACATAAAGTAACAAAATAGGTGACTAACTAACACCCAAGAGTGGCCGAGATTAGTACCAGGAATTTTGCTTCATGACTTGGAGGCCAGCCACACATGTTGGGGGAAAGGGAAGCTCAGATAGAGAAGGGAACACCAAATAAAGGGTGTTGGGAGGATCGTCCCAGGATGGGAGAAGCATGCTGAAAGTAGACTATAGACCAAACATGAGTGTCACTCAATGCCTCTCTTGCAGACCACAGAACCCAAAAGGAGAGAGAGAGAACAAAAGGGAATGCTCTGCCACAGAGGCAGGGTGGGATGGGGGGAGGTGGGGGTGAGAGGGATACTGGGACCCGTGGTGATGGAAAATGAGCACTGGTGGAGGGATGGGTATTTGATCGTTGTATAACTGAAACCCAAGCACAAAAATTTGTATGTCTATAACTGTACCTCATGGTGTTTCACTAATAAAAAAAATAAATAAATAAAATAAAACAGAACTTGTCAAGCAAAGATATGGCTGATCTCTACATCTGATACTGTTCAAGATTTCTGGGCTCTCTACAACCATATCCAGTTCTCTAATAATTTAATGCCTGGCTGTGACTACTACTTTTTAAGGATGATATTGAGCCTAACTGGGAAGATGAGATAAATGAGGATAATGATGAATTACTTCAAACAAACAGAAAAGACGAAGTGACCTCTATCACGTTTAGATAGAAACCCTGCTGTGCCTTATTGAGGAATCTTTTGAATAACAGTGATGATATGTGGAGAGCTATTGTTTACTTTAGAGCTAAAGGGGTAAGAGAGCAATATGGACTGCTGACTATGAAAACACTGAAGCCACACACAGATAGGGAGAATGTACAGGAAAGGCTAGGACTTCTTTCAAAGATAGTTACTGGTTATCAATTCATGCCAACACAGCTACTAGGAACAGCTCTACCACTAAAATTAGGTTTGTTGTTTAAGAAATTGTCTGAGTATTCTCATAGGGGACTGTGTCAATCGACTGAAATTTAGAAGTTTAACCAAAGCCTCTTCATTTAAAATTGATTTTCATGTAAATGTTGCTAAGATGTAAGAGAAGTCTCTTTCACCTTTGTCTTGTACTTTGTGTTCATGTGTTATTTTTTTTTTGGGGGGGGGAATAAAAGTGTCCACTATATCCCAATCAAAGAATATCCCAATTGATATCCCAATCACAGCACACATCATTCCTAGAATCCATACATGTGTTTCTGGTCTACTCTGTTGTAACTGAGTAGAATTAACAATAAAAGGTAAAGGTAAAGGCCCTCCCGTTGATCGTCGATTTGCTCGAGCGGGCCCAGTAACGTCTCCATTGGAGACTTTGTTGTTACTGTGTCTGGCATATCGAATACTCTCGGTAGCTTGCCGGGCTCTCCGAGAGGGGCGGAGGAATCAAACTCGGGTCGGCCATGTTGGCCGCTTGTAAGGCGAACGCCCTACCCGCTGTGCTATCGCTCCAGCCCAGAATTAACAATACAAACACATATTAACCAAACACAGTATTAAGGGAAAAAATTGTATTTCTGTTATTTTACATTAAAAAATAGTTTGCGTTTCATTGTATGTGGGAGCATATTTTTGCTGGTTTGAGGAAAGTATGATGCGTACAGTTTTCTAACAATTGTCTATTTCTTGTCTTTGCTATGCTCTGCTGATGGCTGCTAGATTTTAACTTGTTTCCCTACTTGATAACATTAAGTTTTTCAAGTTTTATTTTTGTGTTTTCCTCAAGGAACATTGGCAAAGGTTCCAGGAACGTGACATATAAATATTATACTTTTTTTTTTCTGGCTTTTTGGGTCACACCAAGCAATGCTCAGGGGTTAATTGTGGTTCTGCACACAGGAATTACTCCTGGCAATGCTCAGGTAACCATATCAGATGCTGTGGATCAAACCTGGGTTGGCCTCATGCAAGGCAAAAGTGAGGCACTAGGATTAATCTGGTCACCACACACACAAAACAGAGGGGAGAAATGCAGTCATTAAAACACTTCTCTACTTGAACACAGGTAAGACAAGTAAACCAAAGAGTTATTGAACTGACCCTGCTGTACTATGGCTCCAGCCCTTGTTTTTTTGTTGTTCTTTTATATAATTACAAAACTTGCTACAAATTTGTGCATTTCATTTAAATCAGTGATCTATGTTTGTGTGATTTCTTAAACATATTTGTGGATTATAAAAAAAATCATAATTACATTCCTAATTAGAATGAGTATGTCTGTTTTTGCATCTTTATGCTGTATTTTAACCCTTTATATTACTTTAGTTATTTTGCTTTGATTAAAAAATGGATCAAGTAGAAAAGTAGTCCCACTCATACTGACAATACAAAAAGACTGTAAATAAAAATAAAATGTCTACTGTAAATAAAATGAATTGTCATTTAGACAACTAGATTTGCTCTTTTATTTCTCAATCTCTACTTAGAAAGATTTGTCCTGATTCCAAGGCAGTTCCTAATGTGTCTTCTAAGGTGTCTCCCTGGTAAGTAGCAGTCAGGAGCACTGGCTTGATTACTATGCTTATTAAAATTTTTAATAAATTGAGTAGGTAGCTATATGTATATGGAATTTTTTTTGGTCATACCTAGAGATGTTCAGGGTAACTCCGGGCTTAGGGGGCCATGTGATGTGTTGGAGATCAAACCCAGGTTGGCCATGTGCAAGGCAAGTGCCCTACCTACTGTGCTATCTCTCCAGCCCCAAGAGTATGTATATGGTATTAAAATATTTTTTTGAAAATTAGATTATGGAAAAAGTACACTATCATACTGTATACGGAGTTATTGTATGTAAACTTTATGAACCACATTAACTAATTTCTTGCAGAAAGAAAATGAAAAGACTAACAGAATCTATAAAAGTTTTTATTTTTTAAAGATATCATCACATCTTTAAGAATGACTAAAATAAAACAGACAATACAAAGTGCTGCTGAGGATATAGAGCAAGTAGAACACATACTTTACTAAAGGTAATATAATTAGTACAATGGCTTCAGAAACTTGTTTGGCAGTATCTAGCAAATTTGAATATATATCTATTCTATGACCCCAACAATTTTACTTTCATTGTATATACCCAAGAAAAATGCATATAAGCTTGCTAAAAAGAGCAGAACTATTAATAGAGACATAAACTGTCCATATTCCCAACTCAAGAGAATGGGCTGTCACTGTCACTGTTCTCCCATTATTCATCAATTTGCTTGAGTAGGCCCAGTAACGTCTCCATTGTGAGACTTGTTGTTACTGTGTTTGGCATATCTAATATGTCACGGGTAGCTTGCCAGGCTTTGCCATTCAGGTGAGATACTCTCAGCAGCTTGCCGGGCTCTCCGAGAGGGGCGGAGGAACTGAACCCGGGTTGAGAGAATGGGCTATAAAACAAAAAACAAAAACAAAAACACCTGGCATAATTAGAGATATTACAGTGGGTAATTTAAGGTGCTCGCCTTGCACAAAATTTTGACCCAGGTTTGATCCCCGGCATCCTATCCCATATCATTCGTGAGGGGAGAGGCAAAAAGTAACCTCTTAGCAACACCAGATGTGGCCCCCAAACAAAAAATGGCATGATACAAGTGACTATATAATGAGAATAAACTACATGCAGCAACATAGATTCACCTCACAGTAATGTTCAGTGAAAAAAGCAGGCAGCAGAATATATTTGTATATGATCCTTAGAAGGTGGGGGCGACTTAAAGAGAGCATGAGGTTGCTACTTTAGGTACTTATAAAATTGTTTCTCGATATGGGTGCTGATAAAAGGAATGGGTTGTTTGTAATAATTCAGACACGTGCAGATATATATATATATTTTTAACATATATTATACATATATAATCTACTTTACATTACAAAAAAGGGGAAAAGGGGGGGCAAATAAAATGAAACATTATTTATCTTGACAGCATATAAATATCTGGGTAGTATGTGAGAAGCTACAGTGTTGCTGGGGATAAGACTAAGGGTCTCATGCATAAAAAACATGAACTCTACCACTTTGAGCTATTTCCCCAGTCCTGATATGAATTCCTAAGCACTGAAAAGTGCCACTTCTTCAGTGTTCTGCAGGGCAATATTATTTCAGGAGCCTAATGCCATCTTTAGGTTGTGTCAGAAATGAGCAGAATTGAGAGATAATACAGTGGGAAGGGCATTTGGCTTGTATGCAACTGATCCAGGTCCGATCCCTGGCATCCCATATAACCACCCAAGCTGCCACCAAGAGTGATCCCTGTGCGCAGAGCCAGGAATAACCCCTGAGCATCACTGGGTATGCCCCTACCCTGAAAACAAACAAACAAAAGACATAAGCAGAACTAAGATGAATTTTCCAATACTTGGACAATTGTTAGTGTGGAGAAAACTTCTCATGCTCACCCTAAAAATAGTTCCAGGGACCTTAGATAATTTCCATGTATCTGACTTACCTGAATAGCTGTTTTGTGGGACTTTTCTCTCCAGTGTCAATATTTCTTTTTTATCCTCCAAATTGTACTTCTCAGGTTTAGAAACTGGAAGCCCTGCTCATTAAAAATGGGAAAATAAGAAATGAGAATTAATTACTTGTGGAGGCCACAAATATCTATTCTAGAGCATAGTCCTAATACCCTGATCGGCAAAGATAACAGGAAGATCTGGGAGAAAGGAAGTATGAACCTCTGAATGAAGCATTAAACACTCGTATCAAGAGAGTTTATATGCACTTGAAAAGACAAATGTTTTAGCCTATTAAAAAAGAAGGGCTATTTTTCTTTATTTCCCTGTTAAGTAAGTTCCAAGGAGACACTGCAAATTAATGCATTGTTTGGGTAAATTTTGGATTAAAAAAATATGGAATTCAGTAGCAGCACAACAAAGTTGTTACTGGGATAACTACAATTTTCTCCTCTACTGTATTTTCTCTGATCCCATTTTAGTTACGAATTTGAGAATGAAATTTTCAGTTACAAAATTGAGAATATGAAGTTTGGGAAGGGTCAACACACTCCCTTTCTCCCTTTATACAAATACAAGCTTAAACATACAAAGGATTCAAACTAGGCAGAGAAAAATCTATTTCCCCAGGTCTGGTAACTTTTTACCGATGGACAAAGATCCGATTTGCCAAAATCACCATGGTAGAGGTATTCTATTACTAAATTTAGTTTTCTAAATAGAACGGAATGTAATCCCTGAGAAGTCAATGGCCATCTGTATCACCTGGTAAGACCTTAAGAACAAAGCTAATTCGGTGGGGAAGTCAAACCACATGATCAAAAAAAAATCCTGAAATTTCAGTTAATTCCCTGAGACAAAGTAATTCCCCCCATTTAAGCTAGATGAATTAGGTTTCAGTTATTTGGATCTGAAGAGTCCTGACACAAAACAAAGTCAGTCTGCCAAGAACCCAACACAAAAATCTACTTTCATAAGGCTCTACAATATGAACTCTTTATAACTCTGTAATGCAAAAATGAAGGCTTTCTAAACTATTTCACCTGCAATAAAGTAATGATTCCCCTACTAAGCAGAGTTTAGAGTAACAAAGAAAATCCATCCTTACAAAACGAGACCAGGTTTCTATAGTTCTCCAGCATCACATCCCTTTGTACAGGATCCAGCTTTCCCCATTCTTCTGGAGTAAAGTCCATGGCTACGTCCTTAAAAGTCACTGATGTCTACAAAACAAAACAAACTTTTTATTCACTGTCTTTCATTTATTAGCTTTCCCCTAACCTCCCAGTTTCAATTGGCCCTGGAGAACTGGAATAGAATACAAAAGGGAAGATTGTGATAAGTGACAGGCACTTAATAGTGTTCAGATTCTGAATATTCCATGCAAAGTCACTGGGTATCAATTATGTGCCAGATTCACCAAATTAGATTCAATATAAACAATCATATTTAGTCCTCTGAGAAACTATAATCTGGTTAAATGTTAAATGTTAAAACATGAATAGATAAGTCAACAATGTTGTTTGTTAAACTAAATAAAATATAGCTGGTGGGGGAAAAAGGCAACTTTGCATAAGTCTTCCTGTAACCCCTCGATAAAAATTTGAAGAAATGTCTAGTCAGTAAGAAGATGAATTGAAATTCAGAACTTGTGAATGAAGAAGTCATGGAATGAAAAAACTGGTAGTGAATATCAAATCCATTAAGTAGTCGAGCATGGAAGTAATTCAAGGCAAAAAGCATTATATTGGAAAATTATGGCAAAGTTATTATGGGTATAGACATAATTAAAATTTGTTTATGTATATAAATTTATAGGATTAAGCTTTTTCTTCCTTTCCCTATAACCAGGCTTCAAGATAGAGCCTCATACATGTAAGGCATGTATTTTACCATCACTGAGCTAAATCTTCAGCAGGATTAAATTTATTAAGTCAAAAGATACAAAAGTTGGGCTGGAGAGAGAATACAGTGGGTAAGGTACTGCTTTTCATGCAGCTGACCCGGTTATGATCCCCTGTGCCTTGTAGAAATGGTATCAGACTACAGAGCAGGAGTAAACCCTGCACATAGTTGATGTGGCCCCCAAAATAAAATAAACATAGCAAAAACAAGAAAGGTTAAAAAATTTTAAGGAGAAAGATACATTTCACTCTTTACTCTCCGGTAGCGGTATTGAGCAGGTTACTATTTTTATGTTTTTTTTTTTTTTTGGTTTTGGGGCCATACCTTGGTGTGCTCAGAGCTTACTCCTGGCTCTGCACTCAGGGATCACTCCTGGCGGGGCTTGGAGGCCATATGCGGTGCCGTGATCAAACCCAGGTCAGCTGTGCAAGACAAGTGCCCTGCCCACTGTACTAATTCTATAGTCCTGAACAGGTCTCTTTAAATAAAGCCAGGTAATATAAATAATATTACAAGATTTCATTGTAATCATGCGAGCAAAACTTTAATGATGAAACATAAAAAAAAAAATGCCTGTCCAGATGGCAGGTTGGGGTTGGGGCTAGGAGCTGGGGGGTTGGGAGAGCTGGGAGGAGGAGAAGAAAGCAGGGAACAATGGTGGAGGGAAGTTGGCCCTGATATTGGGATTGATCATCGAACACTGTATATCAAAAATCCAACTATGAACAATTTTGTAACTCAGTGCAATAATAAAATAAAATTTGGGGAAAATAAAGTCATTGGTTCAGTAGTCAGAATATGTAATATGCATGTAAAATATATTCCAAACAGCTGAGTTCTGGAACACAACTCTGTAAATAAGGGATGACTAAATAAGGGATGACCTGTTTTTACATTCCTTTTGCCAACATTACTAAAATGGAAATTTTTAAAAATTACATGTTTTCCACCAGGAGGATTACTCCATAGCTTACAGGCCAGCCGGGTATTCTAGGGGAAAGGACAGTTCAGATAGAGAAGGGAGCACCAAATGGAGGGTATTTGGAGGATCCTCCCAGGAGGGGAGATGCAGGTTGAAAGTAGACTGGACTGAACATGTTTGCCACTCAATGCCTCTTTTGCTGAACACAACACCCAAAAGGAGAGAGAGAACAAAAGGGAATGCCCTGCCACAGTGGCAGGGGGGATGGGGGGGTGGGGGGGAGGGATATTATCCTGGTGGTGGAAAATGGGCACTGGTGGAAGGATGGGTATTTGATCATGGTATGACCGAAATCCAAGCACAAAAATTTGTAAATCTACAACCGTACCTCATGGTGTTTCACTAATAAAAAAAAAAAAATTACATGTTTTCATGAAAAAAATTACCATATGCTCTATCAGAGCGACAGCACAGCGGTAGGGCATTTGCCTTGCGCGCGGCTGGCCTGGCCAAGCCAGGTTTGAATGCTCCGCCCCTCTCAGAGAACCCAGCAAGCTACTGAGAGTATTTCGCCCCCACGGCAAAGCCTGGCAAGCTACCCGTGATGTATTCAATATGGCAAACACAGTAACAACAAGTCTCACAATGGAGATGTTACTGGGTCCACTCGAGCAAACCGATGAACAAAGGGAGTACAGTACTACAGTGCTACATGCTCTATCGGCATAGTAAACACCTTTTCTTTATTTATTTACTTAATTTTGGGTTTGGGCCATATCTTGCAATGCTCAGGGGTTACTCCCGGCTCTGCACTCAGGAATTATTCCTGGTGGTATTCAGGGAACCATATAGGGTGTTAGGTATCAAATCCAGGTTGGCCAAGTGCAAAGCAAGCACCCTACACTCTGTACTATCTCTCCGGCCCAACACCTTCTATTTAAATATGTATGAGGCATTTGCAAAAAATAAAGCAGATTTCAATAAATTCCAAACAGAAATTGAATAATATCTGAAAAAAAGAAGTAAAAATAAATACACACCTAGTGTCACATGATTAAAATTATACTCAGAAAATGTTATAGCATTATGTAATTCTATTTCATTTTTAAGTGAACCAAGCATATAAATCAAATTAGAAAAAGAACAAAAAAAATAAGAAAAACAAAATTACAGGATAAAATGAGAAATTAAGGAGGGGAGCAAAAATGAGAAAAAATAGAGGACTGGGAGGAAATCTAAATAAGGATAATAAGTCAAGGCTTTCTTTGTTTTCTGTTTCTTGTTTTATGGTTATATCCAGTGCCTCTCAGGGAGCCTCTCCTGGCTCTGTGCACAAAAAAGTCTCTCTTGGCAGTACTCATGGGAGCATATAAGGTGCTGGGGATTGAACTGGTTAACAGTACGCAAGCCAAGTGATGTAACTGCTGTACTCTTTCTCTGACTAGGTCAGTAGGTTATGATATTAACAGATATCAACTTCTTTATTTTGTAAAAATAATAGTAAGGAAGAGTAAATTGTTAATTTCTAGAGGATACTGACGAATATAAAAACAAACTTTCTACTACCTTTGAATAACAAAGGAAAAGGTGCACAGGTACAAATACACACAGGTTTTCTTATAAAGAAACAATCTAAATGTATGGAATTGATAGAATATAGAATACAGTGTTCCAAATGTACTTTTCTTTACTCCTTTTCCTTTTTTGGTCCTAGGGTCAAATATAGAGTCCCATGCTACAAGGAATATGCTCTTCTGTAAATCTATATCCTAGGCCCCCTTTATTTCAAAGTAACATTTTCTTTTACCTATTTTACTTAGGAACAATAGTACAGCAGGTATGGCAAGGCAAGGACCTTGCAACAGCCAACCCAGGTTGGATCCTCAGTACTCAAAATGTTTTACAAGTCCCAACAGGAATGAATCCTGAGTGCAGAGAAAGAAGTAAATCCTGAGAACTGTTGTGTGCGGCATCCCTTCCCCCCAACCAAAAAAATAAAAGAATTTAACATAAAGCATATATATAACACATATAACACACAAAACATATTAGTTGATCTTCTATGTTTTCAGCAAGTGATCAAAAAGATGACTTTATTCAGCTGTAATAATTCGTTATTTATATATAATCAAATTATTATAATAAACTATTCAGATATAAATTTTTCAACTGAGGGTGTGTGTGTTTATGTGTGAGATAAGTTAATAAGTAACTCTTGCTTAAACCAGTTTGAATTAAGCTTTTATTAGCTAAAACTTGAGGTTTTTATTAGCTGCAACTTCTTCAATACTAATATAAAATAGATGAGAAACCAATAGGAAGGTACATAAGATTGTAAGTTACTTTTACAAACGATACAAATGTGCTCTATCTTTGGCTTCAGTAGAAAAGAGAAAGGTTAACTGAACAATCTTCTCTTGTTTGTAAGGCGAATGCCCTACCGGCTGTGCTATCGCTCCGCCCCTCTCGGAGAGCCCAGCAAGCTACCGAGAGTATTTGATATGCCAGACACAGTAACAATAAAGTCTCCAATGGAGACGTTACTGGGCCTGCTCGAGCAAATCAACGATCAACAGGAGGGCCTTCTCTTGTTTGGTTTGTCTGGGGTCACACTCAGCAGTGCTTAGGGTTTATTCCTTGCTCTGTACTTAGGGATTACTCCTAACAGCTAAGGAGATTATATGAGGTGCTAGGGATTAAATCTCGGTTGACCAAATGCAAGGTAAGTGCCCTACCTAGTGTACTAGTTCTCCGGTCCCTTGAGCAATCTTTAGAATGTGGATAGACACATATAACATGGAGAGCTCTTCTATCACAAATCTTAAAAAAAATTGCTTTTTCAGATAACAAAAGTAAAAAGACTATAGATAAATTACTCTTGTAGTGAAACCATTTTAAATGGACCATTCTTAATATCTGACCTGGGAAAAATGGTGCAGATATAAGTTTATCTTTAAAATACCTTAGCATCCACTGTCATGGAGGGCTGGCTTCTAACACTTTAAATTCATTGGCTTTCCCTTTCCAACATTCCTTTGAACTATCTGAATACTCATTATTTTTTGCTTGTTTGGGGGTCATATCCAGTTGTGCTCCAGAGTCACCCTTGGGGGTGCTCAGGAGCCCATATGTGGTAGTAGGGATTGAATCAGGGCCACAGCCACATGAAAGTCAATTGCTTTACCTCCTTCACTATCTCTCTGGCCTTAAGACACACATTATTTTTATAATTCACATCAGCACTTATGGTCTTTCTTAAAGTCATACTTAGTAATTACATGTATATTGTCTTCCCTAGAGGAACCTACATCTTAAAATGATCTCCTACATCACCATACACAGAAATTAGCGTAGTTTAAGGCATGACACTTTGCTCCTTACATGTCTTTGGAGTGAAAATATATACTAAATGGAAGATACCATGGGTAAGCAGACAACATTTTCTATTAAGTTCATGAGTTCTTTGATTGATCTCTCAAAAGTAGGGTTTAGCTTTTAAGCTGGGCTTTAGAGGACAGAAAAAGTTACATCAAAAAGAAGGAAGTGCATTTATACTCAGAATTAAAGTAGGATTTCAGTAATCAGCAGAGACACACTCACCTGGGGTCTGGCTGTCAGGCAGAGGGCAGCCATCTCTCCCTCTTCTGTACTTTTCTCTTGGGAAAAGGGAGAAATCTTGGGAGAGACCACTAAGGGGAAGAAAGCAGTAATGATAGAGCCTACATGTCCTGATTCAGATTTACAAGTTTAAAAATGCTTCACATACAAACAATGCTTCTGTAAAGAGTGATAGTAAAAAGAGCCAAACAACCCAGAATCCCAGGATCATGGAGAAAGTCCAGCAATGAAGCTACTCAGATCTTCAACTTAAAATCCTAATACATTCAGGAAGATGGCATTCTCTGATCTAGAAATCAGAATAATTCAGTTTACTTTCAAGCTTAATCTAGATTAAACTAATTTTAAAAAACAAACGGGGGCTCAATGGTTCCAAAAATCACCCTGAAAGTTTATTTAAAAAGTAGCACTGTAGTACTGTCCTCCTGTTGTTCATGGATTTGCTCAAGCGGGCACCAGTAACATCTCACAACAAATTGTGAGACTTGTTGTTACTGTTTTTGGCATACTGAATACGACACGGGTAGCTTGCCAGGCTTTGACGTGCAGGGGAGATACTCTCGGCAGCTTGCCGGGCTCTCCGAGAGAGGTGGAGAAATCGAACCCGGGTCAACCATATCGGCCGCGAGCAACGCAAACGCTTTACCCGCTGTGCTATTGTTCCAGCCCATTTTAAAGGTAGATTGTGGTAATTCCAGCTTCAAATAATTTTCCTTAATTTCACCTGGGGTGAAATTCAGAAAGCAAGCTAAAAAGTACAAAGATGAAGATGGGAGTTATATAGGAGATCACAGAACAAACTACAAAGGAAAGCCGGTCTGCTGAAGACAGCGTCATGTGCAAAGTGAAATAGTAAATATGGAAAATTATTTTGCCAAACAAAATGTTAAATTCCCAGGCCAACTGACGAAGCTGGGACGGTCTAAGTCACTTGGGATGAAGACGTAACTGCAGGTGTGCTCACGCCTTAGAAGAGGAAACTTCTTTCCCATTTGGGCGTGACTTGGAAGGGCTCTGGTGCACTGGGCTGCAGAGCAAACGGAAGGCAAGCCCACACCAACGCCCCCCATTCTTACTCACAGAGCCCACCCACCCGAACCCAGGGTTCCGGCTGCGCTCTCAGTCCCGAGCCAGCTCCACTCCAGCCCGACACTTCAGTGATCTTACCTCTCAGCTCTGGTATCTCGGCCAAACCCGTCTCCATGCTCACCTCCTCCTGTTGAGACGCCCTCGGGGACGGGCGGGACGTCTCCGCGGCCTCGCGCTCCCGCTGCGGCTCCGGGGGACCCTGCTCCCGGCTGACACTCACGGGGCGTCCCGCATCCCTGAGGCCGGCTCCTCAGGGGCCAATACCCCCTCGCGGAGTCCCTGCGGGTACCAAGAGGTGGGGAAGAGAAAATCCCGCGGCCCCCGCAGTCCCGCGCCCCCCGCCGCGCACCCGGGAAGAGCCCACTGGGCGCGGCAAGTAGGGAGCAAGGGACGCATGTCCCTTTCACACACGGACGCCCCGCCCTGGCACGGACTGAGCCCTGGGTAGGCAGGACAGTGGCAGCGGGAATAGTCGAGGCGTCTGAGCGGCCCACTCACCTCCGACCGTGGCCTGACACAGCCTAGCAACTAGCGCCAGTTCGGAGACGCGCATGCGCGCGGCCGTAACATTCCACCGTCCCCAGGACTACAACTCCCAGAAGGCGTTGGGAGGACCCGACTTGCTCTTTCAGTGGGAGCACACGTGGCGCAGCTGGAAGAATGGAAGAACTGGGGACTTCCTTTCCTCTCGCGAGAGTATATGGTTCTTGAGCTAGTGCAGTATATGGACTTACAACGCAGTCAGTGCAGCTGAAACGGTGCCTGACAATACGTTTTATCTATAACTGGCGCTGTTGAGACATTCAATTTATAATACTCAAATCTATCAGAGTATATGGATTTTTCTATATGTATGCTATGTATGCCTATATGTGTGCGTGTATATATATTCTAATGTATGTGTTACACGTTACCTTCCCAGGCTCATAGAGTTGCCTTCTCCAAGGTCTCTCTCTCTCTCTCTCTCTCTCTCTCTCTCTCTCTCTCTCTCTCTCTCTCTCTCTCTCTCTCTTTTTTTAACTTCCCTAAGCTTACTATTTGCATTCTGTGAAAGTTTTAATTTTAGGGGCTGTATACTCAGTCCTATGTTTGTGCATCTATAGACGTCATCTAATACTGAAATATTTGTGTGAAAGGCATTGCAAACCTTTGTTTGACCAGTTTGAACCAGTATGAGCAAGCAGGTCCTCCTTGTGATGAAGGCAGGCAGATAGGGAAGGCCCCTTCCCAAGGCAGTAAATCTCCTGGGAAGCAATAGCCCTGACCTCTTGGAGAACTAACTGGCACCAGTCCACCAGCCTGTGATAGACACTGCAGAAGCTGGACGTCTACAGGGATGACAGCAGAAGAAATAGAGACCAATTAAGGACCAGAAAGAGATTAATCAGTAACTCCAAAGCTGTTCCTTTAACACCTGACCAACCTCCTCCAACAGAAGCTCCTGCAGAAACAAAGTCAGGAAAGGAATTTTGAAGACCATCACCACTCTCAACCCCCTTAATAACCTCCCTAGCAACAGACTTTTACCTAGGCAGAAGCCCCACATGGGGGCAGGTTGGAAGAAATCCTATAAAAGTCACCTTGAACAAAGGAAGCACACACATATGCTGCCTGAACACATGTGTCGCCTGTATCTCCCCTCTTGAGATGTGTACTTTCATGCCTTCATGTCTAATGCTGGGATGTGTGTAGGGGCTCTCCACCCTTGGAGAAGCGTGGGCTCTCTTTTGAGCAGGTTACTCTCCACTCTCTCCCACTTTCTCTCCCTCTTTCCCTTCAAAACCTCCAAATAAAAAGTGTGTAATTTTACTGCTCGTCTACTCCTGAAATTCCTTTCTGTGAGGAGAGACAAGAGCCTAGTAACCCTGGGTCCCAGGTGGCAGAGGTGGATGGGGAGAAAGTGACCATCTTTCTCCTCCCCACTTCACATAAGTCACCCATGGGGCCCATCGACATCACTTGCAGGCATAAAAATTATTTAACTTATCAAAAGAGGTCGTTCATCAACATAGACTGTTATTTGTATTTCTTATTTGAGGAAATTTCTGTTCATTTCTTCTCCCCATTTTTTGATGGGGTTGGAGGATTTTTTTTCTTGTACAATTCTACAATTCTGTCTTATCTATTTTGGATATTAATGCCTTATCAGCTGTACCCGCTTGGCGCCATCTCCCCATCTACACTCACAACTTTGAAAGCCAGCCACTGGACCCCGGCCTGGGGCACCTGCCTCCACTTCCGCAGCGAGCACCAGCCCAAATAGTCACCGCCCCAACAGGTCTGTGGACTAGCATCTGGACTGGCTGGGGGCCTGGCCACCACTTTAGGGGTCGTGGCCTCCTTAAAGTGGGCTTGGCCTTTGCGGCTGCAGTTACATTTCCTACTCCCAGCACTCTTGACTTTCCCAATCTTTCTCACCTAATTCTGAGGGGAAAATCCTGGCCACTCAACTACAATACAACAATAATCCACTCGTCTACTCCAATTCTAACAAAAGACCAGTACACAAGAAACTGTACAAGCCAAATTTAAAGAGCACCTTCTCCAAAGCTTCACTAGATGCCCGTCATAAGCCAAAGAAGAATGCCTGAGAGGAAGGTCAGACTCTAGAAAGAGAGAAGGGTGACCACTATCGACCAACATTATCCAGAATCTTTTCTCACGATAAGAGGAAAAAGTGCTAGTGAATTCCAGGGTTTTATCACTAGACAACCAAAACAACATGAAGAAACAGTGCAAATCTCCACTACAAGGAAAGGACGAATAAAAGAGTCCCGAATCCTCAACCGGGGTTATTCACAAATATGCTCTCTCTGATAAAGAATTCCGAGACAAAATGCAGAGGATGTTCAAGGACTACTCAAAGAATAAATGGAGGGGATATCCAGAAAACTAAAGGAAGAAATGAAAGAAACAATAGAACAGATAGTAGAGAAAATACAGGAAGAAATGAGAGCAGAAACAAAAAAAAGCTACAAAAAAATGTGTCACAAATAAAGGATTCAGTAGATGAAATTAAAAACTCAGTAGGTGCCCTCAGCATTAGGATGAATACAACTGAAGACAGGATCAGTGAGCTTGAAGATAAGCAACAGAAATCGCATAGGCAAAAACAAACACTGGGAAAAGACCTCAAAATAGCTCTAAGGAGAATCAGAGACTAGGGGATGATGCCAAGAGGAACAACATTAGAATCATCGGAGTACCAGAAGGACAGGGAGGCAACCCCAATGAAAAAGCCACAGTCAAAGAAATCATTGCTGAAAAGTTCCCAGAGTTAAGGAATGCAGACATCCAGATCCAAGGAGCCAGAAGGGTGTAAGCTAAAAGAAACCCTAATAAAAACACTCCAAGGCATATCATAGTCAGAATGATGGATGCTGTGGACAGAGACACAATACTGCAAGCAGCAAGTTCAAAGAAGAAAATCACATACAAAGGAGCACCCCTTAGATTTACAGCAGACCTATCAGAGAAAACCCTCCAAACCCGAAGACAATGGTGGGATATAGTGAAAAAACTCAATGAACTGAACGCCTCACCAAGAATACTTTATCCAACTAAACTATCACTCAAACTCGATGGAACGATATACCATTTTGTAGATAAACAACAGCTCAAGAACTTCATAGACTCAAAACCAAATCTAAAAGAAGTATTAAAGGGGCTCCTGAAAGATAAGAAGGAAAACACTTATAAACACAACCAACCCCTACAGAAAGATGGCACAAAACTCCATAACAATAATCTCTCTCAATGTCAGTGGTCTAAATGCACCAATCAAGAGATACAAAGTGGCAAAATGGATCCAGAAACTGAAACCAACATTCTGCTGTCTACCAGAAACTCATCTGGTCAGAGCAAACAGACTCAAAGTAAAAGGATGGAAAACAATCCTGCAAGCAAACAGCTCCCTCAAAAAAGCTGAGGTGGCCATACTAGTATCCAACAACATAAATTTCAGGTTGAAAAGATTAGAAGGGACAGCGAAGGCCATTTTCTCTTCATCAAGGAATACGTACAACAGTAAGAACTCACACTCTTAAATGTATATGCACCTAATGAGGGACCAGCTAAATACTTAAAACTGCTAACAGATTTTAAGGAGGACATTGCTAGCAACACAATATTAGTTGGAGATTTCAACATCACCTTATCACCTCTGGTTAAATCAACAAGAACAAAACTCAACAAGGAAACTTTGGCTTTGAAGGAAGAAATAGAAAAGAGAGGGCTAATAGACCTATACAGGGCTTTGCACTCCAAAAAGAAATAATACACATTCTTCTCCAGTTCACACTTTTTCCAAAATAGACCATGTGCTAGGTCACAAAATATACCTCAACAGAATCAGGAAGATAGAAGTAGTATCAACAATCTTTTCAGACCACAATGCACTGTAGAAGCGAATCATACAAAGGGTGTTGGGAAGATCTTCCCAGGGTGGGAGAAGCAAGCTGAAAGTAGACTATAGACCAAACATGATTGCCATTCAATGCCTCTCTTGCAAACCACAGGACCCAAAAGGAGAGAAAGAGAGAGAACAAAAGGGAATGCCTTGCCACAGAGGCAGGGTGGGATGGAGGGGATGGGGGGTGGGAGGGATGCTGGAACCCATGGTGGTAAAGGATGGGCGCTGGTGGAGGGATGGGTTCTTGATCATTGTATAACTGAAATCCAAGCACAAAAATTTGTAAGTCTATAACTGTACCTCATGGTGTTTCACTAATTAAAAAAAAAAAATGGGGTGATGAAATGAACAGAAACTTTCCCAAAGAAGAACTCCAAATGGCTAAAAGGCACGTGAGAAAATGCTCTACATCACTAATCATCAGGGAGATCCAGATCAAAACAACAATGAGATATCATCTCACACTACAGAGACTGGCCCACATGCACAAGAACAAAAGCAAACAGTGCTGGCGCGGATGTGGCGAGAAAGGGACCCTCCTTCACTGCTGGTGGGAACGCCGATTGGTTCAGCCCTTTTGAAAAACAGTATGGGCGATTCTCAAAAAATTAAAAATTGAGCTCTCATTTGACCCAGCAATATCAATCCTGGAATATCTCCCAGAGAGGCAAAAAAGTACAGTCGAAATGTACTTCTATGTTCATTGCTGCACTATTCAC